ATGCGGATATTACGCTTACGCGGGGGGTGGGTTTCAGTGCATTAACACTTACTTGAGCAGGGAACATTGCCGTAAGATTTCAGCATTCTAGCTTCTCAAATTTCCAAGCTATGAACATGCTCCAAAAAAATTTTGGCGGGCCCGTACGCGGGTACCGCACTTACCCGGGGGATGAGTTTTAGTGCATTAAGAACTACTTGGACGGGGAACATCGTCCTAAGATTTTAGCATTCTAGCTTCTCAGATCCCCGAGTTATGAACTTAACCCAAAAAGACTTTGGCGGGCCTGTACGCGAGTACCACACGGGTGTTGGCGCCATTTTGGGGATTGAGGCCAGCACTTGCATGTAGATTAATTTCCCGAAATTTCAGCCCCGCAGCTTTTATAGGTCTTGAGATGAAAGTGCGTGACAGACGCACACACAGACACACGGACACACAGACAGCCCCTCGTCAATATGCGTTTCTGCATTGCATAGCTGCAAAAAACGCATAATAAATTGTAACACAGGCATATGAGAAAAAATTCGCAAAACACCTGACCAGCAATGAATTATAAATTATTGAATTAGGTTTATTTTTTTTTCTGGTTGCGATCAGACGTATTTCAAGTTCTCCTGAGCACAAACAATCGGTTGCTCAAATAAAGTCGATCTTTACGCTGCTGCAGTTAATTTTTTGTCTTATTCGGTTGAACAAATATATTAACAAAATTCGGGGCAGTGGGTTGTTATCGAGTTCACTGTCCAGGATGCAGGGATATGAGCTGAAGACTGATATGAGTTTTTCGACTGCTAGTCCAAAACATTCTTCAGGCGGTCAGAGCAATCATTGTAAATGTGCAACCAACGAACGCTTCTATCCGAGTCAAAGGTTAGATGTTAAAGTTTAGATGGAAGTGCTAAGTCCAGTCAAAGAGCAAAAAATGAGAAAGGACAAGTTTAGCACTAAGGCACAAAGGACCGTAGTATTTGATGCGAATAAAAAAGGAAAAAAGAGATGCCACTGGAGCAAATACTGCACTGTCGGGTCAAACGGGTACTATTTTGACCAAGGAATGACAATATTGGAACTGGAAACGCACTTGGCCTGCTGTTTACACCGGATACTG